CGCGTCGATGCGACCAGCCAATCGGAACGTAATATTATGACATTCTATTCTTTCATTGGCCCTGGCGGAATGCTCGCTACGCATCTACACGGTGAAAAATAAAATGTTAATTTTAACATTTTTTATATGTTCCAGAAAGTCTATTCTAAATTTTAAGTCGAAATAACTCACTCGTCGTGTCATTTATTTAGAAATTGAAAATGTTAACCCCTAGACATGCAAATAAAACGGAATTTGATGCGTCCGAAAAATACTATTTAACCCTTTGAGTACTGAATTATTTTAAGATTTTTATGCCCATGGAACGGATTTAATTTGTCGCTATATGGATTAATATGTAAAAGTAATACATTTTATGCCCAAGTAAGCAGATGACGAGTCTCACTCGTCAAATGTACCGAAAGGGTTAATTTTGCCCAATGAACAGTTATGTGCAAGCTTAGAAACGGAACTTTTTATTTTGAAATTTCCATCGCTATATAACATTTAATCAGATTGATATATAATGTTAATGTGATGTGATGTGTCATCACTTGAATAGTCAATAGTATGAACATTTTGATGACTGTTTTCAATCTCATTATCATCACCAGAATAGCCCATTAGACATTCATCGTCACTTTCATACAATACATTCAACTCAGACATGTTACAAGGATTATTTCTAATTTTCACTAAATTCAAATATATAGTATGGCATTCGCCGTGCAAGATCACTGCTATACTGAATACTGCTTGTACTCAATGTACTTCTTTTTGATTTACTGGTTTGCCGATGCGATTTTGTTATCGGCACTGATGAGAAGGGGGGAGCATCTTGAACATTCTAAATAAAACAAAATCGACGCACAAGTGAAACAATTGAATAATCTAATAATATACTGCACGGCGTCCGCCGGAGACAGTTCTTGACGTCTCGGAGACGTCAAAGTCTACAATGGTACATGAAATGAATGACGTCTCCTAGACGTTATTGTATATCAAGGGGTTAATAAAATGACACACTAATGCGTTTTCTTTCAAAACGTGGTAGTGATTATTTTGAATTTATTTTAAATTTTATTTGTAATAGTAACATTTGGTATTAATTAAATTGACATATTTATAATGTCAAATATAACAAATATTATTTTCATGCTAAAAAATTATTTATCTCTTTTTTAATAGCGTTTCTAAGATATCATCAGTGACCATACTTGAAATCTTTTTAATTGAACCAACTTTGATCCAGTTAATATCAGCGTTTGTTTCTTACGACCTACGACCTGCGTTCCGCATCCTGCGTAGATCTTACGTGGACGAGTCTTTCACCTCCTAACCATTTGCGCGACAATGTCGGACGAGCGAGTCCGAGTTAAGTTGCTGGCCTCGCGCGACAAGCGACTTGCGCTTCTTCTTTCTCGGCTGAGCGTCATCGAAATTTCTTGGCTGCAAGTTTGCTGTTGTTTAATATTAAAGTTTCATGAAATACTCCCGTGTACCGCACGGCGCGCGCGCGTTGAAACCGCTTCAAAGTGGTGTTTGACAGCGCGGCTCCGCGCAGAAGACTGATGAATAATCGCGCTCTAAGTTCGGTAAGAATCGGGAAGAAGAGATTACGTATTTACGCTGACGACGTGGCGCTCAGTGGCGTCTCTTCGATCCGAAACGGCCGTTAAAGCGGCACCGCGAGCGAACACGCGGACGAAATATTCCACAGAGGGAACGCGACTGGTTTATTTCATTTGTGAAATAAATGGAGATAATTTACACGAAGGATAAATTTGATAACTGCGAAATGTGATTGTCGCGATTGTGGAACTGTCGTCTTATACTTGCGCACACGCTATCGGCCAGTCGTTCTTCGACCGATGTGAAAGGACGATAAAGGAATAATAGAGATTTATCCGCTCTCAATATCCGTGGAGGTCGCCATGATTGTATCCAGTTGTTGTTAGTTTATATCGCTGCGGCAGCCCGGGAGAGGCGAAGGGAGCTCGCACGGCGATCTTCATTTGCGTGATTTTGGGGAACACGACTTGCGTGTCACGGGGAGTTTTCCTGTTCGAGCATATTTTCTAGGCTATAAACTCGGAGCTAAGTAGAATACTCGGCTACGAATTGGTTACGGCAGACAATGCGGGGAAAGGAGGGGGAGGGAGGTGCAGCTTAAAGTGACGGTACAGGATAACGGTGGAAAATGTAATCCAGCCGCTTATTGTTGGTTAGGTGGACGCAAGAAACAGTAGCTCGTTGGAGCTTAAAGATCATTAAAGAGCTCAAAAAGTCATTGTGCTTAATAACGTCGGTTGGTGCATTTGTGCGCTGCAATTGTGCGCAGCAATTGTGCGCACGCCCACACTGGCGGTGGTGATTTCCGAAAAACGTTTCCCCGCGATGGCTTTCTTCGTATTCCAAGTTGAAGCCGCGCGCCAAGGGTAATTAATCGCTCCTCCGCGACTTCGAAGATAACAAGTATTCGGCAAGTCGTCGGCGGACAAATCGTTGATTACGCGCGACATTTATCGATAATATCGTCGGCCAGCTGCCAGTGATCGCCGGTTACCCGGGACTCCTCGCATCTAAATCGCACTCATGAATCGCGAAGATGAATTCTATCTATGGATTAGCCTTGAACGGCGGGCGTTACATAACATCTTGGAAATAGCATTTCAAAGAAGTCTCTCATCGGGGACGAGAGTTTTGCAGGGGCTGCGGGACAATATATATTCCCGGTAGTGAATGCGTAAGGGAGAACATCAACGAGACGATATATCCGATGTTATTAGAGTAGAGCAAGGGGAAAATTCCACGATAAATCCCGGCCGTAGTGGTACTCCCCCGACGAAAATACACAGTAAGTAGCTTTTAAGTGGTCACGGTGAGAAAGAAAAAAGAAGGGTTAGCCGGAAGATAAATCTGAAGGAGACCGGAGGAGATACCGAGCAGCCGATAGCGCGCCATCGATTATTTCGAGCGGTTACTTCGAGGGCAAACGCGATACTGTCCCAAGGTCCTCGAGCGCACCCGATAGGTATTTCGCTGTTTTAGCCCGACTGACTTTTAAGGTGAAAAGGCGCGCACACGCCGGAAATATCGCGTGCCTCCACGTCGACCGATTCTGATTCTCGAATCCGACAACTCGTCCCGTCGCTTCACCCGAAGAGCGAGTTCGCGCCTGGCGAAATCCCCCGCGGATACCCGGCGCTCACCCGGGCACTGGGAGACGTGCGTCTCTCTTCTCCGCAACGCGATCCTTAGAAAGGAGTAGTCGATGCCGACTGGCAGACGCGCGTACGCCGCGCGACGGCTGGAATCCGGGTGACACCCGTTATACGTACATTCGTAACGTGGAGTTGTAGAGTCGACTCTCCGATATCGAGCGGGAGGCCCGGCGAGGGGTGCTCGCACGTGCGCAGGCTCCCACCTCCACGGTGGATACTACGTGGGGGAGGTGCGCGCGGCGAGTGGAAGAGAGAAGAATTCAGGACGACGGGACGTTGCGAAACGAGACGGACGATGGTTCGGAGGGGGGGGGNGGGGTCGTGGCGCAAAAGAGAGAAACGCGGGCTGACGGCTAACGAGAAGCGAGGAAACGGAAAGCTCCCGCACGGGAGAGGAGGACGGAGAGGATGTGTCGCGGACAGAGGTAGACGATGTCGGACAGAAAGAGAGAGAAAAGGACGAGGGTAAACGAGAGGAGAGCACAGGGTGGAGAACGGAGAGAGAGAGAAGAGAAAGAGGGAAAGGAGAGAGACAGAGACTCTCTCTCTCTCTCTCTCTTTCTCTCTCTGCTCGCGGAAGACTAGGTGCCGGTGGTGGGAAAGAGAGAAATGCAGGAGGTGCCTGGTGGAAAAAGAAGACAGAGAACCGCCGACGATCGCTAGGTGCAACGAAGACAAACGCGGGATGCCCTAAGACCGACGATAGACGAAAGATATGCGAGTAGGAGGAAGAGAGAGAGAGAGAGACCAAGAGAGAAGAAACGAGAGGTTCCGCTATTGCAAAGAGGGTCGCAAGGGGAGTCGTCGGGCAACCGAGACGGAGAATAGACGACCGAAAGAGCGAAAAAGATAGGTGTCCGGCGGAGGACAGAGAAGAGAAGACCGAAGGAGGGAACACAGTTGGAGAAAGAGATAGAAGGAGGGAGTCGGTGCGACGTCGGCGGCAAGAGAGGGGGAGTGTGTAAAGCGAGAGAGAGGAACGGAACGGAACAGGGTTGTTCCAGTGTGCAGCGGGCGGGCATCGCGGCGGGGCCGCCGTTCTGCTGCTCCTGTATATCTATTCAGGGTTATATGCACCATCCACCGCATCCTAGCGATCACGACGGCGACGAGGACGACGGCGACGACAGTGACGACGACGACGACGACGGCGACGACAACCGCCACCACCACCGCCACCACCACCACCGCCGCCACCATCACCAACACCACCACGACAAAGACGACAACCACGACGACGACGACGAGGAGGACGCCGCCGAGAAGCAGGAGGATATCGGTCGCCTCGGATACCCGAGCCTGTTCGTAGTAGCGGCACATCAGTTGTGTTGGTAGTAGTAGTAGTAGAGTCAACCGTAATATCGCGCCGCGGACTAATTCTCTCTCGGTCTGTAACGTCGCGAACATCCCAGTGAAAACGTAAAAAAAAGTTTGCCGGGTCGCGCGACACAGAGGGGAAGACGCAGTGCGGGCGGAAGGAAAATAGCCGTAGGAGGATACCCAGTACTACTAGCGGTCAGGCAGGTAGGTCCATCTCCAGAGGGAGGCATCGGCAAGGAGCCGCTCCTCATCGCTCCAGCATGACCCAGCCTTAGTACGGCTCTCCTGTCGTACACCCTCCGCGGCGCGGCACGATACGATACGTAGAAGAAGGTGGTGGAAGAGTCGGAGGTGGTGCTGGCGCAGGAGGAAGAAGAGGAGGGGGAGGAGGGGGCCAGGGAGAGGGTGGAGGACGGAGAAGAAGAAGAAGAAGGAGGAGGAGGAGGAGGACGGAGGCCTGGCTAACGACGGCGAACGTCCTCGAGGGTGCGAACCACCGCCGACGACGACGATGATCGCGACGGGCGGCGATCGGCGTACTTGTTGGAGACGGAGGCGCCGATTGGCGGTGGTGGCTGTGCTATCCGCGGTTTTGGCGCTCGCGATGGGCCCCTCGTCGTCCTGGGGCCACAGACCGGCGCCGAGCAACCCGATTATATTCCCCACCAGCACGCTCCTGCCGCTCGTGCGGCTGGACAACAACGGTGTGCCTGTGTACGATCGCAATAACAGCAACAACGTCAACAACGGCGGTCTCAGCAACGCCGCAGGCTACGACGGGCACAATAGGACTAACGATAACGCGACGGACGTCAAGAGGCCGCTCTTCCCCGAAGATCTCTTTACTAATGACCAACGGCGCCGTGGCGCCGTTGTACTCCATATACTCGGCGTTGTGTACATGTTCGTCGCGCTTGCGATCGTCTGCGACGAGTTCTTCGTGCCATCGTTGGACGTGATCATCGAGAAATTCGAGATCGCCGACGACGTGGCCGGTGCCACCTTCATGGCGGCTGGTGGATCGGCGCCCGAACTCTTTACATCGATCATAGGCGTGTTCGTGTCGTTCGACGACGTCGGTATCGGCACTATCGTCGGTTCCGCCGTTTTCAACATCCTCTTCGTGATCGGCATGTGTGCTATATTCTCGCGTACGGTGCTGTCGCTCACATGGTGGCCTCTGTTCCGCGACTGCACCTTCTACAGCGTCAGTCTGCTCACCCTGATCTACTTCTTCCGCGACAGTCACATACACTGGTACGAGGCGCTCGTGCTGTTCGGATTCTACTTGGGATATGTAAGCTTTATGAAGTGGAACCAGCAGACGGAGAGGTTCGTCAAGAGGATAATCTACAGAAACAGAGTGACCCGGGTGAGGTCTACCGATCAGCTGATGCCCTCGGTATGTACGGAATGTATACCGCGGAGCGTATACCGCGGATCTAGGAAAATGTCTGACCCTGTCTCTGTCTACTTTTACACCGATCGATCAGTCTGTCTTGGTCTACGATTTCCCTCTCGCTCTCACCCTCCCCCCGGCATCGTATCCTCTCTCTTTCCATCCATCACCCATCGTAGATACGTGCGACTGTTGTACCGCGTTGTCTCTCTATCCGCCCGTCCATCTCTCTCTCTCTCTCTCTCTCTCCCTACTGAATCCTTTCTCTACACTTTTACCCCGTCTTCTCTCTTTCTTCCTTCATCCTCCTTTACCCCTTTACAGGCGCGTACTTACATATCGTGCCTTCTCTCTCTCTCTCTCTCTCTCTCTCTCTCACCCTTTACCCACTACACTACTACCGTGACTTTATATTTCATGGAGGAGCACAGAGCGTCGCGTGACTTCACCTACTCGCACGACTGCTCGTGGGCGATGTTTTGTCTCGTGGACGGACATTGCCACGTTCACTCCCCCCCCCCCCCNTGCATTTTGCGTTTCGCGGCGAGATCAACGGGCGAACCTTGAGCAGACGGCGTGGTCAAGAGTCGCGACCTTGACCAATTCGCGGAACTTTCATGACGTACGGATGTTCAGGCCGCGTCTGATTTAACGCCGATAGGGGGTTGCTTTCCTGCATATTTTATCTTACGATTAATAAGTCAGGTCGGCGAATCGAAAGTAGATTTGATCGCCGGATTCGAAATTTACGAACAATACGGGCGAACCTTAAATTACAAAGGAGCGCTTTTAGCGGCGCTATATCGGGCGAGCGAATAATTTTATATCAAGCGGCTGATATTACATCTCCGTGACGAGAAGTGTTATCGAGTGTCTTTGCGGATTTTCGACGAGGAGAACGAGACTGTCGGTTCCGTAGTGCACCCTCGAACCTGGCATCAGTCATGGTTCGGGAAACGAAGGATGACCCGCTTACCTCACGTATGTAGGCCTAGAAAGAGATATCGGGAGATACATTGATTCCCACACCGACGTCGTCTCCCCCCCTCACGAAATATTTCTTCTCTTCCCCCCGTTATCATTCGTAATTACGTGGTCCCTCGTATGTTCCTTGTCCATGTCGCAATGCATCTTTCGTCCTGGCGATTTTCACGATCCAATGCTGCGTGCGGCATTGGATGGCAGAGACCAGGTCTGTTGATCTGTATCGAGCACTTGTTATCGCGTCGTTGCAATAAACGCGCGCATCAGTGAAACGGAAAAACACGGGGATCGAAAAACACAAGGTTCACGCGACACGTTGATTTATTACAGCGCGCGCGCATCGACAATCGGAAATAATGAACGTCATTCGAGCGTTTTCACATGCGTGTAGCGCGTTAACGAGGCGTAGAGCATTGCGGACTTTCAGCAGGTTTGGTTTGGCCGGTGTTCGCGCGCATGAATCCGATACGTTGTCTAGTGTTTATTCTGGTAATGGAGTCTCTCGTGTAGAGAGAGATAGAGAGGCAGCACGATTCACAAGCGGAAGAAGACCACGCACTCAAGGTCGTCAGAGACGTCACAGGTACCAAGCTCCTCCACGTTGAAGTTTCTTTGACCTGTCGCGAACGAGAGTGCCTTACCGCGCCGGACAAAGCCGGGGACGATACGTCCCTGGACTTTGATACAAATAACGCGGAAACTTTATATTATGGGAGAGAGAGAGAGGGAGAGAGAACCGGCTGTTGTGACAACATTCAGTGTGTTACGCGCGCAATAACTCGCGTAGCGAACGTCAACGCGCGTAAACGCCGCGAGCTTTGTCGCGTGTCTCTCGGCGGCCAATGAAGTTATCGCTGTCAAGCGCGCGCGCGCGCGCGCCCTTTTATTTCGTCTATGTTTCACCTCCATAAGGTTATCAGTCGAGCTGGTTGAGAAAGAACCGAACATCCTGTATACGCGTTTAATCTGCAATTCGCGTCGGAGCCGATCGGCGTGCATCTTCGAGACGATCGGCATTCTGCGGGCTGACAAAACCGAACGATGGAGGACCCTTCAAGCGAACACGCTCCGCGCGCGCGGAGCGCGTTTTTGCGCCAATCGATTTCATATCTCACGCCGGGAAAGAGGCGATGTGTGCGCGCCGAGTGACGAAGAAATTGGTTATGTGTGGAAAAGGCATACCTCACCGTAATCATCGTCTCGGTAAGAGGCCGATCCTCGGTATTATGCTCGAAGGGGAGAAGATGCGTCGGTCTACATTGAAAAGTGAGTTTAGTTGGATCTGCCTGACAATGAACGAACAAACGCGTCTGGATTGAGGGGAATAAAATGTTCTCTCATCAGCCAGATTTGGCTTTTATAACCGGAAATCCCGTTTCTCTCTCAATCGAAACGCGTTTGGTTGTCCATTATAGAGACGGATAGAATCCGTCAAACTTATTTTTCAATGCACGACGAGAATCTTATTTGTTCGGGATACATCGAAAGATCTTTTGTAAATTCGAAACGCAATATCTTTGAGGGGGGGGGGAGGGGGGGATAAAAAATGATTAAAATTATTAAATGTAATCGAAGTGTGACACTATACAAATTTATCGTTTTTTGATGCTTGACGAAATATTTACTTATTGTTATTTATGTCAAGAAAGGCTCAAAGGAGAGCTTGTTTAATTCTTAAATGCATAGTGTTGCAAATTTGCAACATATTTATTTTTCCTCTTTGTCGAGATCAAAGGCACACCTAAACGTGGAAGATCAAATTCTTCTTTAGAACGAAATATACAATCCAAAAGGCACAAAGGCAATGCTCAACATATGCCTCAGATTTTTTTAAATATTTTTCTCATTTTCTGGGACTACCTATGAACCTAAAAAAATAATTCAGTAATAAAAAAAAATTCATGCATTTAAGGGTTAAGAATGATTTAATGTTTGACTACTTCAACTAATTTCAATAAGCAATATATTAGGTTATGTAAACTTAGTCAACTCTGCAAGCAGTACTTAATAACTGAAAATAGTATGTGCGATAAGCGAATATCAAGTAAACTAATGAAAATTAAGAAATAAATGGATAAATAAGACAATAAGCTTCTTTTCTCACAATTTTTTTATTACTATCTTTTGCCAGTGTTGAAAATTTTGATAGGTTTGTGGACCAAAAGAAGTGAAAAGAAGATGTAAGCTTCGTCGTCGATTGCTACTGCATTCTGCATCCTGCATTTCGTCCTGGAGTCAGCTCCTGGTTATCATTGTGGTTAGGCCACTCGATAATCCCACACAAAAGAGAACAAATTAATCAGAAACGCAGCGTTAATTAATGATCGCACGTTAACCGACAACGATCGATATGTATCGAGCGTTTAACCATCTAAATAATTTAATAATTTAATTATTTGCTGCCATGTGTAAGTTAGGGATATTTTGAAAATGTTGACGTCGTGATTTTTCGACCATCGAATACGCTCGTCATTGATTGGCGGACGATAACAGCTCGTGATTGGCGAGAGGTGACTTTGCCCCTCTCGAAGGTATCCATTGTTTTGGTACTCTCGTTCGTCACATCTCTTCCCGTGTAGTTGCGTCTCGACCCGTCGTTGAGCGACACATACCGCAACGCGGAATACATATATCGGAGCATTATTTACAATTCCTTTGGAATGACCAAAGTATTTCGTTAATTATTGAAATTTTTACTCGAGTTATCGTCGCGTTAATTAACATAATTTCCTCTGACCTGTATTTACGCGAGTGTCAGTGTCAGTGAGTATGTGAGACCACGAAGCGGCTAGAACGGAGGATGCAGGACGCAAGAATGCGAATAGCGAATATAGCACATATTTCTAGGTATGTCGAAATAGTCATTACACGGAGTACTTCCGATTTAAACGGACGTCCGATGAATTCATTGAGAATAAAGAAATACCCGACTCGAGATTTAAAATCTGTCAGGTTATTTATACTTTCATCATTTGATAAATAATTATAACTTCATGAATCTCTGATTTGCCAATCTTTATTTATTTGAACAAGAGATATCGAACCAAACAGTTGAATAACGATCCATGAATACGAATTTGTAATTAATTACGTCCTCAGTCAAAGGTCATAAATAATTTATAATACGAATATCGATCTAATTCTTACAGGTGCTGACATTTGCTTCCCTATTAATACGAATTCCATCTTCAACTTGCCAATGACGTCTTTCCACTTTTGTTTACACTTGTTTTTGCACCTAATCCAAATTAAAATCCTTATTAATATTTATATGCAATTGCTGCCCATGTTCTTATTACCCCTTCTTTCCCGCTCCTTTGAAGTGAGAAATCCTATTGAAACTTCCAACACCAATAAAAAATGGTTTTCACATTTTCATAATTATTTTTGCGTGCAAGGAATACCGTTGATCAAAAATCGATTTGATCGAACGTATTCCTGAAATCGGCATATATCCATGTTTGTGCGTGCACATATAATATTGAAAGGACGATGCCTAATTAGAGACCGCGAGATCTCCATTGTAATTGATATTCTGCAGTCTGAAGCGTCCGCATTATTACCTTCCATTCGTCAAAACGAGCGTATCACGCATACTTGTGTACACAGACATGCGATACATTGAATGTACCTGTAATTTTCATTGACGCCGGAGCATCGCATTTTCTAGTTCATACTACAGATTATACATAATGAAGAGAGAGAGAGAGAGAGAGAGAGAGAGAAAAACATACAGGATTACTGCGAAGTGTCAATTGGGACTGAATTAAAAATACCGAGAGAAATGTAGACCGAGGCACGTAATCCGTTTCCTCGAGACGCTGACTGTCTGTTTCGTCGTTGCTCGTCTCCCACTGGTGTCGTTTGCACCGGCACGCTCGGAAAGGCTTAACTGAATTTCACCTTTCACCCCCTAACGTAACGACGTGAACACGGAAACGGGGAGTACGAAAGTTTCGCGCAACCGGTATGTTCGATGTCGTCGACGCGGCGTCGCAGCGGAGATGTTTTCTGTTTAA